TAAATACGTATTTCGTAATTCATTTGCTACACTGATCTATAAGTGATGTGGAGTAATTTGTAAACAAATACTCGCACATATTTTTCTTGGACTCAAATTCCATCACAAGGCTCCAATGTACGAAACGAAATAGACATACAATATGTGTAATAAATATAAAGTAAAAATGAAAATATAACATTTGACACATATAATAATACAGACTATATATTATATATAATTAATGTCGCTTTCCTTATTTTTATCCTTATATAATTAATTCAAAGTTAATTATTATTTATTGAGTATACAGATATTGAACATAATTATCTTTATTTTGTATTTTATAGAATAATGATAAAAGTGTTTTACATATCTTATATTTTATATACAGAGTGTATCAGAATTGGCGGAAAAGTTTTTAATGTCAGATTCTTCATGAAATTCTGAGACAAATAGCTCTTTACAAAAAAGTGATCTGATGAATAGAATTTGAATGGTGAGGCATTGAAGTTGACGTATGGGAGCGCATGAAACTCGCGCGGTCAGGATCGGCACGACTTGTTCGGCACACGTTCCACTCATGACTCGTGTATCGTGGCGATGAGTGTTTCTCGTTACTCTACATTATTCTGTTATTAGTAATATATTATTAATATTAATTTATAAATTAATTAGTAATTATTTTTATTAATAATGATATTTATCTTTATTAATTAATAATTACTTGTGTACTTTGATTACGTACTAGTTGCATAGTCCTTAAACGTGGGATATGCGGGATACCCAGGGAGAACAACAGGTCTAAAAAACGTTTAATAGACGTCTATTAGACGTTTTTTAGACCTGTTGTTCTCCCTGGGTATTGATTAGATTAACTTAACAAATGACAAATTTAAAATAAATAATTAATAAGTAACAAACTGATCATAATTTTAGCAATCAATTAATTAATTAATTAATCAAATAACTAAAATTAGTTTTCCATATTTTCCCGTGTATAACCCTAATTAGTCACACAGGGTGGATTTCACCCCAGCCTTTTTTTGATCTGGAATACGGCCCATTAAATTTGAGAAAATGGGACTTGTTCCACCATATACCGGTAGTTTGAACCTTTAACTACAGATTCAGGTAGGTATTATTTGAGTTGGCTCTTTAGTGCTTTTCTGGCAGCCATCCGAAGCGGAGCATCCAAAATTGTGGGGTGGATAACACCCAGTGTGACTATTACGTCAAAATTTTGATTTCCGCAGCAATTTTTTTTCTCCTTTTTTTTGGTGCAACATCAAATTGTAAATATATAATTAATGATTCTGAAAGTTAGAATTATCAAAAAAATTTTTATATTGTTATTTTATCGATTTTATAAATAAGAATTTTTAAATAAGAATTGGCATTGCTAATATTTTAGCGATGAGAGATTTGCCAATGACTACCGAAGACCGCCCGAAACTAGAAAAGCATAAATGCTGTCAAGTGTGCCCCAAAGGCACCGATAAAAAAACATACCTTGAGTGTCCGAGCTGCAAGCGACCAATGTGCGATAAACATCGCACATATTTATGTGTCGAATGCACTATGGGCATTAAATAATAATTAGAAATAATATATTTATTTTTTCTACATCATTATAATTTTATAATTTTATATTAATTTTTTCAAAATAAACAAAGATTCTTCCATAAATTCATGGGTATCATTCTTTCGTCCAAAATTCTAACTTTATTCGGCAAAATAAATATACTTTTTGGAAAGACCATAAAAGTAATAATATCTGTCTGAAAGCATG